CCAATGTTAGGAGATAAATGAATATCTGGGTGGACCTTTCTTGCAGATCCAGGGGAGAGACTGCAGACTAGAGAAGACATGTCATTCTCCTGCCAGTGTTAAATGTATCCACGTTTATAATCTAAGGAGATAAACTCAAAAGCATAAGGACTCTCATATCCTATCTCCTATTTCAGGCAGAAGGGATAACAAGAACTCTTGTGTGTAATCTCTACCCTTGCAGGTGAGGAAGGCAGTTCTCCATTTCATCAGGAGGCTGCTCAGTTCAGGAAGTGTGGAGAATTGTGCAGCATGGGATATGGTAGCATATGTTTTCCGCGAGTTCAGTGTGTCCACCAGCAAACTGGTAAGGAGAGTTCTTAACACGTAGGACTCGGTCCTACCACACTTGCATGCTGATTGCTCCCCTTGCCTTCCGTGGGAGTTGTGACTCAAGGACAGCTGGACTGAATGATTAGAACCAGAATCTGATCAGTTATATTGGTGTAAAGTCAAGGTAACTCCACTGACTTTAGTGGCGTTACTCTGGATTTACACTAGTGTACCAGAGATCAGAATCTCACACTGGGTCTTTACATCTAACAGAGTTATCTAGGTTACTCAAAGCTCTGATGAGACATTGAACATTCTGAAAACACCATTTTTCAGTGAAATGTTCTTGTACAAGGAAGCACATCTTTTTGTTTTCAATAGACTCTCCAGAGAACATAATGATGCCCAATTCTGTGGGTGTTGAAGCATATCTAAACTATCAGCAAAACACCGAGGTTATGCAGGCTGCATCCCAGACTGTCAGGAGTCTGGAAAAGCTTGCTGTGTATTTCCCTCACTACATACTCTACTCTACATGTACTAGTTTAAAAATATCTTCAATCCGTATTTCTATCCATGGACACAGCCAGGGGCTCCAGACACTCTGTGCTCCATGACTGGATCCATGATATATATTAACATAAACAGTTCAACTTTACAGTAAGTTGTTGCTAGACTCACACTCACTACACACAGAATGACCAAGCTGGTTGAGGCATCAGAACAAACAGAGTGGATCCCCCTGGTTCTGCATATTTATTTCCACTGGGCAGAGGCTGAATGTTTTTCCTCTATAAAGATAAAAAGATGAAACAGTTTTTTTCAAATTTAAAAACATTTAACACTGTTGGGGAAACTCTTTTGTGTTCAGTGAATCATTCCCTTCACTTTGGGGTTTTCCTAAGCCTGGGATCTGACCCACCAGTTAGGAGTTTCTATTATTCTCTTTCCTTCAGACGTTTGTGCACTTCCAGTGCAATATAAAAGCAGGCATAGGTCAATGTTCAAGTTTGCTTCGTAAGAGAAGGACACTGATTCTATAGCCAGTGTCTTGCTACTAGCTAATAAGTTCTATCTAGCTATCTCACAGCAGGGTACAACACTTCTCACCCAGGCTATTCAGGAAGAAAGCACTATCCAAACCCTGTGCATTGACATCCTGCAATGTCTGGACACCTCAGTCAGTGGAATGACCCAAGTAAGTGACCTGTTGCTACTGCTTCTTGAAATAGGGACGTTCTTCCTTACGTTCCTTGTACCTCTCCACAAGGAAGCTCTTTGCACAGTCAGCATAATGGAGGAACAGCATGTCAAATTCATGTCAGGGATGGTGTGACCCCTTCATCATGGAGTAAGTGGTTCACATTAGAGAAAAGATATAAAGCAACTTAACTGGAAGGAATCATGGTGCAGAGATCTTCCCTTAATTCTTTCCACTGTCTGAGTGCAACTTCCCCTTAGATCCCCCATGAATACTTCTGATTTGGTGATCCTGGATTTGAACAGATATTGGGGCTGAGACTGTGCCTTGTATAGGTCTGTAAAGTTCTGGGTGAGTTTCTGGTGCTATCGAAATAGCTCCATAATGCTCTAGTGCAGGGAAAGAGGATTCACCAAACTAGGCAGTGTATTTAAAAGACAGAGTGCGGGGGCACCAGACAGGTAGAGTGAGATGTTGGGGAGAGAGAGATGAGGTGATAGGTTAGGGAAGGGTCAGTGAGGAATAAAAGGAGAAGGGAGGGATTCAGACAGCAGGATACTGGAGGTGGGGGAATGGAAATAGCTGGGTACTGAACAGTCTCGCTCTTCTCTGCAGGTGTTATGGCCAAGGCTTCTGGAGTATGTGGTGCCCGCTCAGTACACGGGTACTTTGAAGCCTCTCTGCAGATGCCTTAGGGAACTGGCTGAGAAAAAGCAGCAGGAAGGAGAAGAAGCTGCTTGCCTCGGCTACAGTGGACCAGGTTTATAACAGAAACTCTTCCACTTACTCTCTACAGGCCCTATGAAATGAACAGGTTCAGTCTGCTCCAGTTCTC